CGGCGCGTCGCGTTCCACGCGCGCCTAAAAGAGCCATCAGACACCACGGATGGGGCCCAGCAGGGCTGATGCCGATTCGGAGTCGCGGAGAACCTAACGGTTGGTTCGACGTGCAGGAGAAGGAACGGGGTGGTTTTTAGTCAGTAAGAGTCTGACACTCCCTCCCGCCTCACCCAGGCGGGAGCAGTCATTCGACGATTATCCCCCCTAAAAACAAAAAATCACCTGTATTGTACTATATAAGATTAACTGATGTCACGTCACGTCATACATTGGTACGCATACACTTCGTGTGCTCTGTACGTAATGTAATTAAAATAAAGTCAAGTAAAACCAATCCGAATCTTAATCATTAATCAACCAATATAACAGGTTCTACATCTTTATTAATAAAAAATAATCCCCGAAAATATACGGGCATAACTTCAGAAACGATCCTGTCTTAAAAGTAGAAACGTCTTATGGCTTAATAACATCGGATATGGTCATGATTATGCAAATTCTTTTAAGCTACTTGAATGACATTGGCATCTTTCCGCTAGGCACAGATTACAAGTCACAACCAGGTAAAATGAATTATACATACATAAAGTCGCACTTGTGACATTATGTAGAAACTACAACAGAGCACCATTTACTTAGTACAAGCCTGACAGAAGCACTTTTTTATTTCTTCACGTTCATTCATAATTTTTTGTATTTGACCTTTCCCTTATTAAGCCAATGGCGTCGAACTAGATAGCAAAGTTAATATTTATATATTTGACATAATACTTTGTCGAATATCTATGTGTATTTCATGCATTGGGTTTTCTATGCTCTCGATTTTTTATCTAAGGGAGTTCAGTGCAACATGGTGCACTCGTGCTGTTTTTAAAGAGACTCCAATTTCTCTATTGAAGTCGGATTAGATTAGATTATCACTTAACTTCCCCTTTATCGAATAGCATAAGACTATGTGGTAATATTTGGTTCGTTAATCTAACTAAGATATAATTGGGTGTATCTTCAATATGTAGGAAATGTAACCTAAATCAGCAGTGGCCTAACAAGATCTTTTTGTAACGTGTGGAGGACCTCACAGGCTCTACCTCACAATCACAACGTGAAGGTCAGAGTGGCGGAGTTGTAAGAAACGGCGGCCCGAAGACGAAGCCCGCCGTGATATGCTGGAGGCTCTGAATATATACCCGTGGGCACATCCCTACTGGATGGTGCGCAATAGATTTCGTACATAGGCACTCCTGTTGACTCAGAGTCTCCAGCCAGAGGACGTGGAGAAGGTCCTCTTGTCAATGTTCATTTGAAGACCCATTTGTAGTACACCGTAACTTCCAGCTCGACAGTCGTAGTTACGACTACTCTACCTAAGTGAATCATCACTAAAATGCTTTATTATTTAAACATCATAATAATATGACGTCAATCTAAAAAAGTCAACCACGTTATCTGACGACCTAATGTATGATAAGGTCATAATATATTAGGTCGTCAGATACGTCATACTAGAGTATGACGTATCCTGTAGGTACCAATAAGATACATAGTCCATTTTATTACTCTGCGACATACGTCATAGTATTGCAAATATATAATTATGAATGAATGGAGAAGTTTACCTGTATCGGACTGAAATGAGTAAACGATGGTGATGAATAGATGAAGAATGCAAGGAATGGACTAAGAGAATCATGAACTACTTATGACTAAGGTCATCCATATGGATGTTATATAACTATCTCGTGTAGGTACTGGGCGATCTACCTGCTTCTCTGAATTAGAGGATTTTCAAAAATTAGCTTTGAGGTTGAAGATCAGAATTTAGATTAAACATAGAATGTTTCTGCCCAGTCTCTGTCAAGAGTTCCTTAGAGCCCACTAGTTTGTTGCGCTGTGTTGCGTAGTACCGTCGGAATGGAACACTGCATTGTACGTTTCACCAGGTTTGTGACGGCGCACGGCGTCGCAAATCTGACTGTCTGTCGATGCAAAGCATCATCATCTCTCTGTCTTTTGTATCGTCTCTTGTCCATTGAAACGCGTTCAACAACGCAACGGTGTATAGAGCAAGCCAAAATGATATAGAAAATGATGATGCAACGATGTAACGCAGCGCAACGAACAAATGGAGCATCGCTCTTAATCACTTTTTGGGTAAGTAAAGGAAGTGATAAAATTACTTTACTCCGCTGTCACTACAAATCCTTACATTAAGAAATAAATAAATAACATTACACCAACACTAAGTAACGAGATAAGTATAAACTGTAGGCCGAAAAAAGATATGACACAGAAAAAGCCGCAGTTTATTACTTCTAGAAATTGCCGTAGCCTAAATCATAAGCAAAAATAAGTCCTTGAGCGTTATAATTATCCATTTATAGATAATCTAATCAAAGTTGCTATCAAATTATATGATAACGATCACAATGTTTTCGTATGATTGATTCCTGCTACTGTTTAAACTGAAATTATCCCCTTTAGATTATATCTGCGGTACTAGATTTCGATAAAATTAATCGTTATGTATAACCATATTATGAAGGTGATTGGGAGGAATGTCCACTTAATTAAATAAAGTTTGCCGACAATTATGATAAGAGGAATGTGAGGGACTAGTTTATAAAGGGGAAGGAGAACTGATGTCCGTGATTTATCATCATCATCAGCTTGCAACCGTTCTAACCTGGACAAAACGGCTATCACACAGTTCTTTTACCTTTACCTTGCCACCTTTTTTGGTGGTATTATAAAGGTAGGTATTATAAACCCAGATAGTCTTATTAATTTTTAACACTTGCTGAAGTGGTAGCCGTAGATATAACGAACCGATTTTGGCTCCTTGTGTTCTGTGAAAGAAAAATACAAAAACTAAGATTTGAAATGTAAAAATACAAATCAAATTACTGGAACTCCTGACATCCAAGACTCCCAGTATAAATTATTATGTTCGAATAATAACATTACATACTTTAGACCAATCCGTCTTCTTGTCGTACTCAAAAAATTTTGATAATGCAAATAAATATATCTCTAAATTCTACTATATTGCACAATACATAACTTAATTTCACACTAATGTAAAACCTGGAGGCAAAAAGTAATTTTACTTTGTCTTCAAAAGTCCACCGCCAATGACGTTATGGTTATCAAAAGTTTATTTGATTAAAGCAATCTTTAAAACATTTATGCAATCTTCAATCGTCTTGTATCGATGTTACATTTTCCTCCTCCGCGAGGCTGGGTTATGGGGAATTTTGTAGAGAGAGGTGCCTATACTTTCCTGTGGATATTATGGTTTCTCCGAATGGCTCGTCGCGAACAGGATCAGGTCACGTATGCTCTTGTGTCTATACTATTGTGTTAGTATTGCAGATTGAAGTTGCATGATAGCGTGTGATTGTAAGGCTTGCATCACATTTAATGATATTTTACTAATCAGTTCGTGGACTGAAGACATAGATATAATAAAGTAGTATTTTTGTAGTTCAAGACTATTCACTCACAAGTTGAAAACCTGATGAAGGTCGCAGGGAGTGATAATGATAACTGATTTCTACAACTTGCTTCACTCGTGTAATGGGTTGCCTTTAATGATGGTCATTAAAACGTAAATGACTTAATAGTTAGGCAATAATGAATGAACACAATATTGAAAGATATTGTATGTTGATAATGTCACTTGATATATATTTTAAATCTTCGGTCTAAAGGTCTCATCGCACCTAGTCACCTACACACGGTTGCAGTTATTCCCCGAACAAATGATTGCACAAAAAGAAATTCGGTGCATTATCTTTGTTTATCTGTCTGTTTGTTCAGTTGAATATCTGGTACGAACTGGTGATTAATTTCTTTGAAATATTACTATCTAGCAACGTGTGTTTCGTAGTGTATGGAAATTCAAAGTTCACTTGAGTTTTTTGTTTTATTTTTATACGATAAGAAGACTAACGAGCTGATCATCGGATTGGAAGCAATCGCCCATGGACACTCACAACACCAGGGGAGCCACAGGTGTGATGGCGGCCTTTTGCGAGTTAGAGAATTTGTAGAATGGGGATGAATGACATTTTTAAGAATTAGGTCGAACTTAATACTTTATCAATGAGGCTGTACTTGTGATTATAGGTCGAGTATGAGTCTGGAGACATTTTACTAACCGTTTTCGATGTAATCAGTATAATCTGTTATGACGTTAGTAACGTGAAGTAATTTATGAAAAAAATTACGTTCGAAGAACTCATTTAGGTAAGTCCATTACAATGTAAAAGGTGTATGCTAAAATTAAATCTGTTTTCTTCATTTATATTCACTACAGAGTAGATAATGTGTGTTATTGTGGAAATAGTTGCAAGGTCTAGAAATTACATAATAAATTGTCAGTCATTGTATTGCAATTGAGATTCAAATTACCTTGTTTCCTCATTAGGATGCATTACTGGCATTAGAACAGAGTGCAGCTGTTGCAGTGGATGCGACCTTTCCTGTAGACCGTCTTTTGGATCTTAAATGTACATTTTCTGATGTATGGCATCCTATTTAAGCTAAATAAAAAGAAGTTAAGTGTGGGAGAGCCATGGGCCGGCTCGACCGGAATGATACCACGGCCTCACAAAAAACCGACGTGAAGCAACGCTTGCGTTGTGTTTCGTCGTGTGAGTGAGGTTACCGGAGGCCCAAATACCCTTTCCCAATCTATCCAATCCCTAAATCCCCAACGATCCTCAAACTCCTAATCCCCAAAAAGCCGGTAACGCACTTGTAACGCCTCTGGTGTTCCTGGTGTCCATGGGCGACGCCGATTGCTTACCATCAGGTGATCCGTCTGCTCGTTTAACGGCTTATGCCATAAAAAAAAGCATACGCCTGGCTCCATAAAATAAAGGTGCTTAACTATATACATCTTGGGAAACCATCACCAATATATCATTGGACATCCACAGCTGAACATAGGCCTCCCCCAATGACTTCCAGATAGGCTGGTTGGACGCGACCTTGGGATATCCTACAAGCAACTTCTGAGTACGCATCCTCTACATGCCCAAACGTGTTGCTAGATATAAATACTATCTTTGTAAATTATTATCGGATCTTTTAGTACTCGCTCTCACAATACTATTTATTTTGTCCCGTACGACCGAATAATGAAAGGCCATTTTAAGTTGTACTTAAATATCGTGTCATCTCTATCATTTTACAATGAATTTGTAGTGACAGAACTATACTTAAGCGCGTCTTAAAATTAAGTGTAGTTTGAATATTTGGACATTAGTGTTTAAAAAGACATGTAGAAAGAATGGATGAAAGTAGAGTAACGAAAGAAGTATACAGAGCGGATATGAATGGGGCCGTTGGTAGAGGGCGCCCTAGACTGACATATAGTGACCAGATTGGCGATATACTAAAGAAGGGCCAAATTAAAAGTACCCTTAACCGACGAGCATTCATGAAAAGATTGATGACTGTTGATGAAACGAAAGAGGAATGTAGGAATCGCAGTAATTGGCGTTCCATAATCTCTTCCTCCATGGGAGACAGGCGTGAAGTTATGTATGTATATATGTTTAAAAAGTGTGTGAGAATTAATAGCAATAAAAGATAAAATAAAGACAGAAAGAATACGCGATGCATGTTGAGAACGAATCACCTTTTCCTTAAAACCTCAAGATATTATGAATTAGCAGATACCTATAATGACTAAACACTAAGAAATACCCAATTGAACCGTTACCTCGTAGGTACACACCTCCAATAATTAATACGAGATATGATATTCGCAGAGGGTAAACCCCATCGGACTCATTTATTGCGTGAGTCGATATCTTCGAGGGCCGAGCATCTTGCCCCTCCCCGCGTGCATTTGTTAGTAAACTTGCTCGACGGGCCGTAGTAAGGGCGTCACAAACGCTGCGCCCGCGCAAACTTCGATCGAGGCAGCATTCAATCGTGAAGTAGCGTGCGAAGCGGATCGCTCAGCGGTGACGGTCGCGCGCTTTCAGTTTACGAATTGCGACTAGTTGACAGTTCTAGTGGACTTTAGAGTTCAAGTTGAAGAGTAAAGTGATGTCGAAGGATAATCAGAGGTTTAGCCGGCTGGGCGTCCTAGCGCCAGCTGCCCTGTCCGCCTGCATGGATGCCTCCGTGCTGGCGGTCCCGGCTGCCGGGGCCATCGTCTCCACAGTCCTCAAGGAGCTCAGCAAGGCGTTCATGCTGAAAAAGTAAGTGATATATTTTTTATCTATCCACAACTACAGGGTGTTTTTTATTTGGATTAAACCACTCTCGTGCTGCTAATGTTTATTTACGTATTTTAAGTTAACCGCTGGCGACATTTCATGAATATATTTTGAAACATTTTTGTTTAACAATATGAAGATACGTATTACATTTTTTTATTTATTTTCCGCATAACTATTCCTACTTGATTGTGATTAGTAATGCTATATCAGTTATTACGTTTGTCGTTATTAATATAATATTATCAACATGCGTTTGAATGACATTTTTAATTCTGATGTTAATAACGGATAAGTATCCTCAACAAGTCTAACGTATGATTATAACTTTTTATCTAAGATATTGCACGTAGATGCAGATAGTGTCAAATTACCAATTGCTCTTATAAATAGCTTCAGTTGGATAAAACCATAAAATCTGTTTCCTCATTAAAGAGACAACTTCTAACTTACTATTCGTGGTATTTTCTCGTGTGTCGTGGGTATAAATACATACAAATGACACCCAGACCCGATACAACAATTTGTGGACTACACAAAGAGATGTTTCGTGCGGGAATCGAATCCGCGACGTGTTCCGCGGCAGCCGGTTGCCCAGCCACCGCACCAACCGTGCAGTCTTATAACGGGTAACGGGTAAATAATTTTGCTAATTACATTTTTGTTCTTCTTGATTTAGACCTTTTCGATTGTGTTTTAATTTTATTGGACAACAATACAGTTACCTCACAGATACAAAACGAACTGTTTACAAACAGAATAATAAAATAAAATGTAAAGTTGCAAACAAACAATAACGACGTACGTTCAAAAGATCAGTTTGAAATCTTACTTACCGTATACAGCCTGATTTTTTCATACATCGTATATGCACCGACCGATGTAAGTACGCCTTAAGAATGTTGCAAAGCGAATTCTGGATTCGATGAAAAAGGGTGTGACCAAAAAAGGCATAAGAGTGTCGTGACGACATCCTCTTACTCACACATGGATGGTACGACCATGTAGGGATGTACCGGATAAGATTACCGAACATCGACCACTTGGTATTTGTTAATCAGCTGTATTCTTAGTAATATCTACTTAATTGGTATGTTTATGCAGAATTTTCTATTTATATTGCACCCTTACTTTGAGGTTGAAGCTGGCCAATTTATTTTTCATTTTTAAATGTAAAAAAAACGCAACCCCACAGTACATTTTCTCGTGTTTTGCGGGTGCGTATGCAAACATACAAGTTCACATACATGTGTATGCGACCCAGACCCGAAACAATAATTTGTGGATCACACAAAGAGCACCGTGTGGGAATCGAACTCACCACCGCGCTAACAGTGCAGTCAAAAATAATTGAGGATTCAAAGTATCTCTTCATTAATATGAAGACCGATAGAATTGACAAAATGGTTTATCTTACCGAACTTTTATATTCAATCAATTAATATAGTTTTTAAGTTTAGTACTAAGTTATTACAAATTATTCAAGCTCAAATACCAGGTAGCCAATGTTAACCATTAAGGAGTTCCTTTGACTATCATACTACTTCATCATCGGACCCCTAATTGCTATCACACCCCATTTAGGTGTAAAGTTCTCATCAATACAGATTAATGAGACCCAAATACAAAGTAGCTACTGTTAACTGTTGACGAGCTCCCTGATCTATCGTACTACTATATCATTAGACCATTTATAACATTTAAATTCCGCCTAAGTGTAAAGTTCTCATCAATACAGATTAATAAGACCAAACACAAGGTAGCTACCGTTGACCCTTGAGGAGTTCCCTTAGCTATCATACTTATTCATCATCAGGCCCTTAATGATGTCATTAAGTAGTACACCCTACTCTTTAGTATAAAGTCCCCATCAATACAAATTAATCAAATACAATACACCTACTGTTAATCGTTGGGGAGTTCCCTCAACTATCGTACAACTTCATCATCAGACCCTTTATGACAATTACACTCCATCTAGCTGTAAAGTCCTCATCAAAACAAATAATTTAACCCCAAACACGGGGTCACAGGTTTAAATCCTCGAGGAGTTCCCTCGACTATTTTCCGCCTCCATTATCGGATCGACTACCTGTACCAAATTGTAGTGGTTTTGAATAGTTAATGAAAAAATAAAAAAACAATAAGGTACAATTTTTTAAAATTCCCCTGGTTTCCTTGCGGCGTTCCAATCATCAGATCCTGTTCTAGTAAAAATGGGACCATCTCGAGAGTGTAGCCTTTCTAACAAAAAATAATCATTCAAATCCGTCCACAGACACACACCCACAGACAGATTAATCGCGTAACATATACACAAAAAAACAACATACACCCGAATTGATAACCCTTCATTTTTAAGAAGTCAGTTAAAAAGTTTCTTCACGTAAATGACTGTGAAAACTGAGCGTAGGCTCATTTGCTGCGTTTGCGCATGCTGCTGATGAGTAAGAGTGTCGTGCGTGACTCGTGCGTGACCCGTGTGACGTGAAAATTAGTAGGAGCTTTTTCTAGCTACGACTAAACACCTAGCTTGTACACAGCTTACCCCCACAGTCCATAAAAAGCCTACACCTTACCCCCACAGTGACTGTCTCGTTGCCCTCGGGTTCGATGCCCGGGTCGGACAAAGTATTATTGGATTAAAAAAAATCTTAGTAGTAGTAGCACGGAGTCTGGAATTGTGCCCAGTATATGGCAATAGGCTCACCCCCTAAAGGACTCTTAACATAAATAGTGAAAAGTGAGTGTTACATTGTACAGTGGAAGTAAGTGGTGTAATGTGCACTTCTGTTTATCCCTTCGGGAACAAAAAGCTATGTATATGTGAATAAAAAGCATATCTACCTTAAAATTCCTATAATTACCATATTTGTGAATTCAAATAAATATCTAGGTGACACAGTATGTTCGAAGAATGAGTCTCACAATTAAAATGCTCAGGCGCATCCTAAAATGGTAATAATGACATAATTTTCTTAGAACTAGTACTTATGTGTTACGACAGAAGATTGTGTGTACATAAATGGATGTAGGCTGTACATAAAAAAGAGGAAGTTGACATTTTCTACTCTAATTTTGCATATCAGTAGTCGCATGCGCCGGTTTCGGAGGTCAACGTAGGTACTTACAAAACGTACATGTAGATACGCTTAAGGTAAAAAAATTTTTTGTTCGTAAATATGTTGGTCTTTTGGTCGTAAAACCACCTGATAAAAATGAAATATAAAAACGTACCTACTACAATTTTTATAGTATCAGTTTAAACATGCGAATAATGTATAGTCTGTCCCATGTTGCATAACATTCAGTAATGGATCTAAAGATAGCACATTCAACCATTTTTAGCGTGACGTCATAATTGTGTTTGATCATTTCCCCTACTTTTCACGCGTAAAATATCTGCTTTACATAAATATATAAAATACGGTAATAATATAAGGTGATACGATTTTTCATGCACTTTTTAGTAACCATATCTTCGTTAAAATAAGGAAAATTGACAAAAAACGTAACGAAAAATATGACGCCATTTAAATGCAGTTTTAGCTAGAATTCTAATAAAAAAAATTGTATTAAATAATATTTTAACCTTATCACACATAACGTTATTCTTAGATTAAATTTTCGACGGTAATAACGTTTTTTGTCATAAAAATTTTAGTTCTCCCTGCGCCGATAGATGGCGTTGTACAATTCCGTTCGTTTTCTGAATCGCGCTATGGTTTCGTTCCCTTCGCCCTTCATATACCGCTGCCACTCAGACTTAGATATGGGATGTGTCAGATTTCTCTGTTTCAGTAATTTTTGTATAAAGGCGGGGGTGACAGCCCAAACCTTTAATAAAACCTTTAAAATTCTCAGGTCCGTAGGCGTTACCTAGACATATTATGTATGATACGTAATAATGTATGGTAATTCGTATGGATTTATTTAGCTACATATTAAAACTCGATTGTTGTTACTGCGTCTGTGATGTTTATATGAAAAAGGGAATATTTTATTTATTTTATTGTTTATAATAATTATACTATATTTCTGCTTTGATTCCTTTGTTCTTCTTCTGGTAAATAATCTAGGTAGGTAAATATTAAGTAGCTAAAAATAGATGTTTGTTCATAATACCTATATTAAATTGTTTTGATTTTGATCTCTATAGGACGTCCGCGTATACTTTTGTCAAAAAGTTTACATAACCATAGATATTATTTTTACAGTACCTAATAACCTATTGTAGTTTCAGTTTGAGAAAAATGCAACAATTCGGTTTATTAACCGTCTTGTGCCAATTATTTTCCTAAAAAGTTAAAAAATAAAATAAGAAATTTCTTATTCATTTTTGCTACTTATAATAGCCACAAATTATAAAAAAAATTAGTACGAAAGGATAACCTATGAATAGGACCTTATTTTTGGGAGATAGGTATTCTATTTTATTTTTGAAATATTTCATGCAATATATGAATCTTTTATACAGAGTATTTAGCGCATGGACTGATATATTTATTTTAGGGATTTGGGAGGTCATTATTTACTCTTGGTCCCAGATGTCATGCTACATAATGTTTTTTTTTTATTAAAACTAACACAAATTAACTGCCCTGTTTGTTAACTAATTAACGGTCGCTCATTAACGAAACAATTACGAATTAATATTTTTTTATGTTTTGTCTTTTCTCGTACCTACACCCTTTTCTCGTTCCGTGGTTTAAAATATAGGTTTCATATTATTATTACAGGGAGATAGGGACCCATCTATTTATCTTTCACTTCTTAGGAGTAGTTTAGGTAACGTGTTTTACCATAATCGGTTTATCCTTAAAAACAGTAAGATATATGTATAACAGAAAATGACGATAAAATACTAAAATTTTGTGTCATAAGATATTTTGAATATAGAAAGAGCAAAAAACAAAACTGTTGTTTTGTTAGAAACCGGATTATGCAAGTTGGTTGCTGTTTTTAATTAATTTTAAATTATT